TGAGGAAGAGGAAACGGAGATTGAAATGCACGCTGTGGTGCGGGGCGGGAATGTGTGGGACTGAATGTAAAGGCGATCAACATTTGGAGACTAAGCATTTGTTCAGTAGCATACAGCAGGCCAGAGGTGCACAAGAAGATCCTAGAAGTTGGGTTATCTGAGGTTTGGGCTGGGTGGGGCACAGGAGACAGGACACAGCAGTTCCAGTACTGAGGGTGCCGTCCAGGAAATGGAGGAAGAAAGTCACTGTAGGTCTAACTGGCCAGGAAAGGGAGTGAATGGAAAAGGAGCCCGTTCAGGGGTGGGGAGGGCCGGAGTTGTCCAGGAACAAGAGGTCACGATTCAGCCAAAGAGCATAAAGCATAGAGAGGTGTGGCACGCTGGAGGCGATGGTCACCAGTGCTGGGAATGCTGTGAGCCAGGGGCCTGGTGGACACTGGTACTGCCCAGGACGATGGCAGAAGCTGAGACAGGGAAGATGGCAGAGCCAGGGGTGGAGACACGCTCAGGGAGCGCCAATGGGTGGCCATACAGGAGGGGTGCAGAGCTCTCTGTCTCCATGAGTGGGGGCGTGCCACCCTGCCTGAAGGGTGCAGAGGGGAGACAGCAGCCTTTACTGGGGAAGACCTCAGTGCAGGCGACCCGGGGAGGGCCTGGGCTGATGCTGTGCTCAGCCTTCGCCTTGTCATTCCCAAGTGTCCCTTCGTTCCTCAGTCTCCCTGTGAGACAGTGAGGAAGTCTACTTACCTCTGTACTCCGAGCACCTGAGACTCAACATCTTCCCACAGTAGACACCCACAGAGTGTTTGGGGGGCGGGGAGAGGAGAAGAGGCTGTGGCAGGTCAGTGAACGGGCCACATTTGTCCTGCTCTGTCCATTACAGTGTCCGGCAGAGACCAGCCCAGTGCCACCACCACCATGAGACTGAACGAGCAAGAAGAAACGGGAAGAATCATTGAAATGCAGCGCCTAGAGATCCAGCGCCTCAGAGACCAGATCCAGGAGCAAGAGCAAGTGCCCGGCTTTCACACCATTGCCGGAATTCGCCTTCCTTCCCTTGCCGACTCAGACGTGGATTTTGAGGCGAAGACCAAGTGATCTCTCTGGTGAGCTGTCTCCAGCTACAGCCAGAAGCACAGCATGTCGTCCTCGGGCAGCCTTGCCCTGGAGTTGCTGCAGTCCCTGCAGCACCAAGCTCTTTCTCTTGCCCTGGGGACCCAGCCAGAATAAAGATGTTTGCCTACAACCTTGTCCAACATCTGCTCAGCTGGCGCCAGGGCAGGAGTGGGAGGGCGTCCCTGAGGCTTGGGGAACTGCAGCTCATCCAGAGCCAGTGCTGCTGGTCCTCATCTGCGCTCGGCACTGCAGAAGTCGCGCCGGACATGGGGCTGTGCAGAGCACTGATTGAGGACCCCAAGAGTGGAGACAGGGGGCCAGTTGGAAGAAAATTGGGGGTATCCAGTTGTGACAGGTCAGTGGCTTGGACCAAGGTGATGGCAGAGGGGAGAAGGGAAGTTCTTAGCTTGGAAGGAGTTAACATAGCCAAGGGGAAGGAGCCTCACTAGAGAAAAGGTGAAACACAGAGGAAACTGACCCCTCCTGGTTTGCCGTGGCCAGGATACATCCACATTCAAATGATGGGAATTCAACTGAAAATATCTTAGAGTCAGAACAACACCCTTCACCCACAAGATGGGCTTCAGATTACCAATGAGGAGGTCAGAACCAAGGAGCAGTAAATGAATTGGTACATGGTCGCAGAGGCAAGGCCAGAATTATAGCCCCATCCACCCAAAGGACTCCAAATCCCATGCTCTTATATGCTGCTCTGGAGAGGTATCCAAGCAAAATTCCACAGACCAGGTGGTAGGTTATGAAATGTGATCCCAGATAGTCTAAACTAGAAGGAAAAGGAGCTGGAAACTCCCAGCTAAGCTAGCCTGGGCCTACTTAAACCTGGCTGCGGTCCAGCTGGGGAGGAGGAGGCACAAGTCCAGGCCACAGGAGAACCTCTCCATAGCAAAACCTCGCACCTTGGCCAGCAGGTCAACTGGGCATTTTCTTGACTGCACAGTGGGTGAACACAGATTCACGAGCCAACCAGGGTTTCTTGATAACGGCCATTCTTTCTGGGGTGAAATGGAATCTCAGTGTTGTTTTAATTTGCATTTCTCAAATGGAAAGTGATGTTGAACATTTTTTCATGCATTTATTGGCCATTTGTACTTCTTCATCTGAGAAGTATCTGTTCATTTCAAATGCCCATTTTTGGAGTAGGTCTTTAAATTTGGGGGGGGTCTATTTTTTTTAGTTCTCTGTATATTCTAGATATTAGTCCTCTGTCAAGAAGTAGGTGGCAAATAATTTTTTCCATCCTGTGGTTTGTCTTGTCACTTGATGGTTTTCTTTGTTCTGCAGAAAGAAGCTTTTTAGTTTAATGTGATCCTATGTTTACCCTTTGTAATATTACTCCAGCTTTCTGCCCGAGCATAATACAAGGGAGGAACAAGGCAGAAGCAGGGAAAAGGGCTCTCTGTCCTCCCCCGTCCTCTCCCCACCATCTCTGAATGCATCTGAGGACAAGTCAAATGCACACCTCCAGCGTGCCCATGGCCACCCCTTCCCCTGACCTGTATTGCTGCCCCTCTGAGCGGCCCCTGTGACCTCTGCTTTGGAGACAGTTTAACAGCCCTGTGCAGAACCTGCATTCCACTGAACTGCAAGGCATCTGGTAAGACCCAGAACCAGAACAAAGGCTTGCCCAGGCCGTGTTCAAATGGGGGAAGCTTTTAGACTGTTTTTCCCATTTCAAACTCCCAAGGGAAGGAAAAATGAAAACAAAATCTCATGCATTCCCTGCCCAGATCTGCCTGGGACCGCTGGACAGGGGGTCTGCCTGGGACTGGGCCTTCCTTGGGACCAGGAGGGTAAATAAATGTCAGTGTGTATAAGAGGCATCCACAGCTAGTAGGCCGTGCCAGCCGCCTGCTCCTCTGCACCCCTTTGTTATGGAGGGAGCACCTTTATAATGCTTTGCAAACCTTTCGAACACCTGTTATACCATGCTGTTGACCCCAAAATCTGGCCCGCCCCACAGCCGTCAGCCTGTCCTATCTTCTTCAGGAGAAGGATATTGAGAGCCTTGCCACTCAGTAAGGACCCTGCACAAGCTAAGTGCGGTGGGTATACACTGGAAATGTGACTAGCTAAACAGAAGTGCAGTCTGTGTGAAATGCACATCGAGTTTTCAAGACCTTACACAAAATAAAAGAATTTCAAATAGCTCATTAACAATTTATATGTTAAATATATTTTAAAGCCTGTAATCCCAGCACTTGGAGGCTGAGGCAGAAGAATCACCATGAGTTCGAGGCCAGCCTAGACTACATACTGAGTTCAAGGCCAGCCTTGAACACACAGCTTGATCCTGCCTCAAAAAAACCAAAATAATTAAAAACAATAATAATAATAACATATTTTGAAACTAAATGTTATTTCATGTGCTAATCTCACCTATTCCTTCAAATGAAGCTACTAGAAAAGTGTGAGTTACATACATCCTCCCCACAGGATGAAGCAAAGGGGAACACAACAGGTCAGGCACAGTTGTTTTGGAAACAGATAATAGAAAAATAACTTCAATTTTGCTTTTCTTTCTCTTGTATACACATCCAAAGGAGATCTGTGTCCCCTTCAATCAGCCACCCGCTTTGCCACTCCAAGAATGGCATGTGTGGTGCCACACTGTTATACTTCAGCACCCTCTGTGGTCACCTGCACAATCCAGAGGCCACCCATGGGGTCAGTGACCCCCAGCCTGAGCCAAACTTGTCTTTCCCGTTTCATCTACAGGCTCCCTGCCCGAAGCCTCTGCACCTGTCAGTTCACACTTCTATTTATTCAGCCCATCACTGAACAAACATTTATTGATTACTCCCCATGTGCCGTCTCCTGAGTGCTGGTCACTAGAGATGCTCTAGTTAGCAAAACAGGCCCTATTCCTGCACTCATCCAGGGTCACACATCTAGTGAGGGACAGAGAAGTACATAATGCACCCTTACACACATGGCAGGAAAAGCAGTTGTAGGGGAAGCACAGTGCCATGAATGCAGAACTCAAACCAGGCTGTAAATCAGGGAGGGCTTCCTAGACCAGGGGACGTCACAACTGAAGAATGAGAGTTGACCAGATGACCAGACTGAGGCTGAGGGGTGGTGAATATCCTAGGCAAAGGGAACTCTTGAGTACAGGAGCCATAAAGGCAGGGTGGAAGACAGAGCCTGCAGAACTTAACACCACTCATTCTAACTGGAGTGCAGGGGTTGCATGAGCCCTGGGAAGTAGCGTTTTTATTCCAACATGTTTATTCCAGGATCTTCCCTGTGAAAGGCCTTTACTCCCTCCCCACCACGCCACCCCAGCTCCTAACAGGACCCAGCCCCAGTGAGCAGGCCCACCACACCCAGGAGAATTACAAAGGCCTTGTCTGGGCTCCAGCCTGGTACAGAGGACCAAGGATGGAGGCGCTGGGACTGCTGTGGGGATCAGCTGGTGCTGGGCTTTGGGGTTGGTTTGAGGTTGAAGTTGGGGGTCTGGGGCTCTAGACTCAGGAGTAGGAGGCAAGGTTCGGGCGGAAGATCAAGTTGGGGTCCAGGACCTACCTTCAGAATCTGAGTTAGAGTTAGCAGTTGGAGCTGAGGTTTAAACCAGGGTTGGGTTCGGCAATGAAGCGCAGGCAGGGGTGGGGCTGAGAGTTCTAATTAAACCCCGGCTGGAGTCGGGGTAGATTTTGTGGCTGGAATTAAAACTAAAGTGGGGTTGGAGCCGGGAGTTGGGCTAGGGCCCAGGCTCTAAGGCAGATGGACAACATTCCTCCTGCTGCCTAGGTCTGCTAATTGTGTTCAGAGTCCAACAGCAGCTGACAAACGCCCCTCCCTCCCCAGGAATGTCTGGGCCCAGCAGGAGCAGTGCCACGTCAGCCAATCGGCTCAGGCCCTGCCCTGGAAACACCACCTGTTAATCCCCCTCCTTCCAGGCTCACCTGCGTGCAGGTTAGGCAGGTGAAACATCTCCCCGGAAACGAGCAAGAGCACCCCACCTGCTGGGCCCTTCCTGCTCAAATCGGATCCAGCACATTCTCGTGAGTGCCCCACACCCCCCACCCACTCCACCTCGCCTTCTCCCCCTGGCTCTTCCCCTGAGCACCTCCACCCCACCCCCAGCCTGGCCCTACAGTCATAGCAACCTGTGCCAGCACTGTCTGACCAGCAAGTCACAGCCCTGGGGAATGCTGGGAGGACTCCATGCTCCACCCATGGCCCCGCCTCCACCTCCCACCTGACTCGCCCTGCTTGTGTGCCCTGCAGACCCAGCGGAGGGCTGGTGAGGACCCATGCCTCCTGGGGCATAACCCGTGCAGGGTCACATCAGATTCCTGGAATGATAAGCATCCCTGTCCTGTGTACCATCGTGAGTGGAAGGGGTTCACTTATTCAAAAAATACGCTTTAGCCTCTGTGTGGGCTAAATGAAGAAGATGTCAAATGAGTTGCCCCAACCCCACCCCTCAAGATAAATGTCACTGACTTCAGTTTTCAGAAAAGGAGACTGAGGCTCTGACAAGAGAGCTCATGGGGCCTTGCAGAGGGCCATGCACACCCAGCTCACAGCACTCTGCAGACAGGGATCCTGGAGGGCGGGGACTGTGCTTGCCTGATTTTTCCCTGCTGTGAGTCAAGGTCCCTCCCCGCATCTCCGTGTCGGGAAGGTCTGGGCTGGGGTTCAAGTCCAGAGTCCTCCTTTTTCCTCTGCAGCACTTTGGATAAATCATGGTGGCAGCTGGTGTAGGTGGAGTGCAGGGAGTGGAGAGTGGGGAGGAGTGGAGAGGCAGGCACAATGGGGTGAGACCAGGAACTGGATGGAGAAACATCTGGAGGAGCCTCTGCCCTGGGATTGGGTGTGGCAGAGGAAGATGAGCAACCCCCCTGCAACTGAAAGGGAAGTGATGGCGCCTGACGCGGGAACACAGAGGACTAACAGGTTTAGAGTAAGATGACAAGTTTGGGTTGGGACTTGTGACGTCAGAGATGGTGATTGGACATCAAGGTGACAGTTGACTTGGGAGGAAGGTCTGAGTGGCAGAGAGGAATCTGGGAAGCAGCATCTGTTACTGCTGGTCAGGTTGTGAGGTGGAATTAGCGGAAGGGCCATGTTAGGGGTTGGACCCCAACCCACAGAGAAAGAGCAGACGCAGCCCTAAGGAGGAGGTTCAGGGTCAGGCTGCTGGTTCCAGAAGGGTTAAGTCATCAGCCCCCTCCCTCTCTACAGCTCCCTCCCAGGAACCATCCGTGACAGCTGAGGCCATGTGAGTTGGTCCTGAATGAGGCTTTATCTCTGGCGGTTGGTCCCATCATCCTCTGTGGCACCAGTTCCCTCGGCCAGCCAGGATGGGACAGGCAACTGAGAGAGCCAGAGCCAGAGAGGTCAGGGTCTGGGCAAAGGGGTTCCCTGGAAGAGGGGGAAGCACTGGAGAGGGAAGGAGCTCTCCTGGGGTCGTGGAGAGGCTTTCCCCAAGGAAGAGTGCTGGACAGAGGAGACTCCAGAGGACACTGGGGAGGACTCTCAGGGATCTGCCTCAGGTGAGTCCCTGAGGGTCGGGTGGGTGGGAGGTAACACTGTGATCTTGCCCTTGCAGGTAATGGTGACCTCCACCTGGGCTAAGAGGAATGAGACTCTGGGCCTGCAGCTGACAAGCAGGAGGTGGAGGCACCAGGTCATGGTTTGCACCCTCTGACCTCCGACACTGACCTTCTGCCCGGATCCTGCCTGACCAAGCCATGTCTGAACCAGCCCGAGCCCCAGCAGGCCAGGAGCTGCCTCCGGACATGCTGGCAGAACAGGTGGAGCTTTGGTGGTCCCAGCAGCCTCGGCGCTCCTTGCTCTGCTTCAGCATGGCAGTGGGCCTCGTGGCAGGCTGTGGCGCCGGTGGCGTGGCCCTGCTGTCCTCCACCAGCAGCCGCTCTGGTGAGTGGCGCCTAGCAACAGGCACCGTGCTCTGCCTGCTGGCCCTGCTGGTTCTGGTGAAGCAGCTGATGAGCTCAGCCGTGCAGGACATGAACTGCATACGCCAAGCCCACCATGTGGCCCTGCTGCGCAGCGGTGGAGGGGCCGATGCCCTGGTGGTGCTGCTCAGTGGCTTGGTGCTGCTGGTCACTGGCCTGACCTTGGCTGGGCTGGCTGCTGCCCCCGCCCCTGCGCGGCCCCTGGCTGCCATGCTATCTGTGGGCATTGCCCTGGCTGCCTTGGGCTCACTCTTGCTGCTGGGCTTGCTGCTGTATCAAGTATTTGTGAGCGGACACTGCCCTCCCATCCATGGGGCACCTCCTGCCCCCCACAGTGGCACTAGCAACATCTTCAGCATCTCAGGACAGTTGTCTGCTGGCCAGCGTCATGAGACCACATCCAGCATCGCCAGCCTCATCTGACCAGCTAGAGTCCTCCTTTGCACAACCTGCCTCAGTGTCCCCAGATGCACTCCAGGGCATGCATCTGTATGTGTACATGTGTGTGAGCGTGTGTGTATCCCAGGGCCTTCTGTGTACGTCAGCCCTTCTGTGGGATTGTGTTATCCAGAGCTCATGTGTACCCACCTATCCATAGCACAGGGAGTGTGCCTTCTTAGAACTGCTGCATGTTTGTGTCCATGGACTAACCCTCTGCCTGTCTGGGATCACAAGGCAGAGAAAGGTTTGTGATCCCTGAAGATTCTTGACTCTTATTTCCAACACCCCTCATCACTAGTCTGCCTTGTGACACCGGTCAGGAGTTTCCACAGGGATGTCTTTTGCCCACCCCAGGACTGCACCAGTGACTGCTCATCAAGCAGAGTTCTGCAGGCAAATCAGAGGGAACATGGGCTCCAGACTAAGATTCACCCGGACTGGAGCCCGGCTTTGATCTCCCACTTTGCACCTGGGCAACTTGAACAGTGACTTAGCCTTGCTAGGCTCAGGTTCTTGAAGTTCACGTTGCCATTAACTGTGAGGAGTAAATGTCACCATGAATGGAAGGACTGGCTCATAGCAGATGTGCAATAAAATGGAGGCTGCTGTTGTCATTGTCATTGTCTTCACCCCAGAGACCCTCCTTCCCCTTCACCCATACCCCTCCCAGACTAGCTCTTCCCACTTCTCTTCTTTTTTTTAGTCTTTTGAGACAGGGTCTTGCTATGCAGTTCAGGCTGGCTTGAGCTCACTTTGTAGCCTAGGCTGGTCTCAAACTTGCAACAGTCCTCCTGCCTCAGCCTCCCAAGTGCTGGGATTACAGGAGTACATCACCATGCCTGGCTTCCCACCATTTATAAACAATGCCTTGAAAGGTGTCCTAAGCCAGGCCCTTCATTTCTCCTCCTAGGTAACAAGGGGCAGGAGAGGGAAGGGAGGAGGGTTGAGTAGATATGCAGGTTTGGGAAGACAGTGGCTTCTTCTGGTCCCAGAGAAAGGGTGGTGAAACTGAGTCCTTCACATCTATTCACACGCTGGTTTAGGAGGCCCTCGGCATGGAGCTGCTGTCCTCTGGTTTCTCCTTCGAGACTGTGCCATCCTTTCATGGTCTCCTGTCACGACCTCCCTGAGGGCAGCTGGGAGGCTGCAGCTCCTTGCCCACTTGGAAGCCGGGGCATCCTGCTTCTGAATGGTTGGTCAGTGCACCGGCCGGTCTGCTTCTGGGCTCCTGGGCATGGGAAGTGTGTTTGAAACTCCTGGTGTGGTAAGGGGCACTTCCTGCTTGAAGGCAGGCCTTGAAGGGAGCTCCTTTTCTGTAGTGACAGTGACATTTCCTGAGTGGCAGTGATCAAGCTCCACTGGAAGCAGGCGCAAGAGCATTTGTTACTGCAGCGCCACTTCCTGCTGTGCAAGGGGCAGGTGACCTGAAGGACGTGAGGACACCAGAAAGGCGGGAGAAGGAGACCTGTCTCCTAAGACCCATCTTGGTAGAGCCACGGACACTCAGCAGGCCAGGGCAAGCATGTCGCCTGAGCGGACACCAGGCTGATAGATGAGGGGCCGCAAACTGAGAGAGGGAAAGACAAGGCCTGTCCAAGAATACCGGCACAACAGAAGCCTGTCCCCTGCCTCCTGTCAGCCTTCCAGGAGATCTTCTGCCTCATCCCCAGATGCCACCAGTCACCCAGCAGCTGGGTTAGAGACCTCAGAGTGGCCTCAGGTGGTAGTGGCTCCTTCACTGCCTCCTGCCCCAAGTACAACAACCAATCTCCAGCTCCTGATTCCCCTGGTTAATTTTGCCTAGTACTGCAACCACATCTTCCACAACCTAGAAGGAAATCACTTTGTCTGCCTAAATTGTACCCCTGCCTCCTTCCTAATCCCAATTTTGCTCTTTTCTTCTCCTAAAAACCACCTTCCTCACCGGCACAGGCATGTGCTTGAGCCACAGTGAGCGCCCTAAAACTAAAAATGAAATTCCACATGGAAATCTTTCCCTGGCTGCCCACCTCTTCCCGGCTTCCTGACATCATTCGGTCTCACTCTCCCTCAGAGGACTCTATGAAACACCACACCACACCATTTCCACAGACTCACGTGTTCGCTCATTTGTCCTTGCCTTTATATGTTCTGTTCTCTTTGCCTTCTTGTCTTTCAAGACTCAGCCCTCTGGGGACTCACATTCTCCGGGGCGTCTTCCCTGACCTTCTTCTCTTAAACTAGCAACTTGTTCCTTTTCTCTGCCCATAGCTCCCTCAGTTGCAGACATTAGCCTGGGGTACTTTCTGTGTCATCACCTCAACAGGGGCTCGGTTTCATGCCAGGAAGGTTTGGTCTTGCTTGCTCGTCTTTGCATCTCTAGTTCCTAACATAGGCCCAACACACAGATGCTCTGTTGGGTGGATGAACAACACGACTTGGGCAGACAGCAGTGTGATGAGGGTGGGGGCAGAAGACCCAGCTTCAGCTGGGAAGAAAGGAGGGGAAAATAGGTCACTGTGCACTTGGTCCAAGTCTGTCCCTCCTGAAGCCCTATGCTGTCTACCCGAGAAATCTCCACTCTCCCTGGGTTCTCAAGAGACATCCAGGACTATACCAACTCTTTGTTTTGTTTTGTTTTGTTTTTCAGTACCAGGAATTGAACTCAGGACCTTGCACTTGCCAGGCAGGCGCTGTGCCACTGAGCTAAATCCGCAGCCCCTATACCAACTCTTAGGTAATAAAAGAATCACAGACTGCCCTCCCATCCTGTAATACGGGGAGAAGCCTATTTTCCTTTAGCTGAGACAGGGTCAGATACCAACAATATCTCTTTTAAGAAAATAAAAGAAAAAACAAAAGAGGCTTTGACAACGAAGGGTTTAGGCAGCATAAAAGTCTAACTACAGGCAAGACCAGCATCGGGGGGCCCGAGTAGGGATGAAGAGTGGAGACTGTGGCCTGTGCCCCCCCCACCCAGGGGCTACTTCAGAGGGTAACACGAGATGGGTGACAGGCAAGAGCTGCGCGGAGACACAGGCAGGCAGAAATGCAGCCTCCTCCCCCATCTGTAAGCAGACCTGCCGTCACTTCCTGCCTTTCTCTAGCTTGCTCAAAGCATTTATCTAATGCCCTGCTTGGTCCATTCGCCTCTCTGCTCTCTGTCTCTCCTCTAAAACTGTGCCTTCCTTAGCTGGGCATGGTGGTGCACACCTGTAATCCCAGCACTCAAGAGACTGAGGCAGGAAAATCGCTAAAAGTCTGAGGCCAGCCTGGGCTACATAGTGAGTTCAAGTTTAGCCTCGACAATAGCAAGATGCTGTCGCAAAACAAAACAAAACAAAACAAAACAAAAAACCCCTGGTGTTCCCTCTCCCACTGCCTTTACTTCTCTTGTCACTTAGTTAAGACTCTGTAGCCCACCATTTCATCCACTCTGACAGAGCCCTCCACTCCTCAGCCACCTGCCCTTTGGTCCCCATTCCCACCAAAATCCCCTCCCTGGATAAATCCACCCATCTGTCTTCACTGCCCTGTCCCCACAGATGTTCTTAGAGAGATCTGCATGGGGCTCACCTCAGCCTCCCACTTCACAAAAAAATGGGAGTATAGACCGGGAGACCTGCTCTTTCACACCTGTTCTTGAATGGCTTTGATAGCCCAGTGGAGGAATCTGGACTTTGTCCTCTGGACACTGAAAACCATGGAACGATGTTAATCAAAGGAGAATTCAAGCTCACTGGTTGCTGTGTGGTTCTGGGGATTGATCTCAGAAGGAAAACAAGAAGAAATGGCTACACGGCCCAGAAGTACTGTCTCAGCAGGCCCCTGAAGGAAGAGGAGTAGCTGGAGGCATCACAGAGGGTTTGTGGGCTGGAAAGAGGTGAGGGCAAGGTGGAGAGTGTCCCGGGCCAGTCCCAGGGCTTTAGAGACCACTGGGCAGGAGGGTTACTTTCTTGCAACTAAAAGGAGGCCAGTGGAGAATGTTTAGCTGAGGCATAATCTGGTCAGAATTGTGTGTTCAGGTGCTCACTCTGCCAGCAAAATAGAAAATTACTTGGAAGGGGTAAAAATGGAGGCAAGGAAACCAGTTGGGAAATTAATGCATAATCCAGCTGTGAAACACGGAAGTGAGACAGGGTGGCTGCTGAGAGGTAGGGTTCAAAGAGAACAGATTCAGTGGACATCCACAAGGTGGGACCAATAGATCTTTGCGACTGACTGAAGGAGCCTTTTAAGATAGGGGTGATGTGATTGGTTAAACACTGGAAAAAAGAAGGGTTGAAGATACAATGGGGAGAATAAATTGGTCTCAGAGGGAGGCAGGTGGACCCAGAGCAGCACATGGAGGGACTGGGCTTGCGTCTCTATATCACTAGAGAGAAGGAAGAATGTGGGGGCAAGTGTGTGGGTTTTGAAGCAGGAAATTGAGTGAAACCCTGACCAAGAGCTGTTCTCTCTGAAGAGTGGAGGCAGTTTTTAAAGAGCTGTTACGGAGAAAGGCGAGGGATCAAAGAAACAGCAAGGTTTCTGAAAGCCCACATGAAGCTGGTGACTAGGCAAGCACCAGAGGCTGGGCTACCGGCGTGGAAGTGGTGATCTCCCAGACCAGCTTCACAGAGGTCCACTGAGGTGTGAGATGAGGTGGGCAGGGCGGTAAGCTGATGATATCACCAGGGGAGAGGCTGCTGTCATGGACCTGAAAATCTAAACTGGTACTTAGTGAAGAGAAAGACAAGAAGGGGCTGATGGAGAGGCAGAGTAGGATGGCCTGGACTGAAAGGCACTCAGGTGACAGGTGAGGAGGAGAGACGTGGCACATGTCCCTCCTGGGCTTAACAGTCAAACTCAAGATTCTCAGCTATGTTGCCTGGATACACTGGCAGGGTGGGTTCAAAGTGGTCTTTACACTATATCCAGTCACATCCCACAGGACACCTCAGGCCTGGTGGGGACACGCTGACCTCCCATCATGCTCAGCAGCCTGTACCCAGAGAGGATGCCTTCTTGACTGGTCTCCAGGACCCAGAATGCTCCCCTGGGCATAGACTTAGAGGTTGCCAGGGCTGCAGGACCCCAGATGCAGAAAGGCAGGGATGGGGCATGACACTTCCACTTTACAACCTGCTCTTCCAAACCTGGAGCTTGGACCCCTAAACTTCTGAATTCCCATTTGCTAGGAGTGGGTCAGAGAGAGCCAACCGAGACAAGGAGAAGATATGTCCAGCCGCATCCAGAAGTTTCCTGCTCTGAATCTACTTTATCCTTACTTCCAGGTCAGACGATGTGATGTCTTTATTGCTGGGAGAGGCAGGCAAGTTGCAGTTAACTTATTGGAGTCCCAGCATCCTAATTTATAAAACAGAGTCACCCACCCAGCAGAGATGTAGTAAGAAAGTACTGGAACCGTATCCATCTCTCATGCTGCTCGTGTTACTTTATAGCATCAGAAGCTTTAGTCCAAATCCTTTGCTGTGCTGACCAGATCTTCCCACCTAAGTCCTGGGAAACAGGCAGAAGGGAATGAGAGGGGAGGAGGCTTGGCAGTCTGCTCCCTCAGGATTAATGCTCGCTACCTGTTACAGAGAGCGATTGCCCAGGACATCCGGGTCAGGGTACAGCTGACACTTACAGAGCACGTGCTCTGAGCTGTTTTACTTGCAGAAGTTGCTTAGTCCTACTACGAACCATGTGAACTGAGTATGGTTATGCTGCCCATTTTTTTAAAAAGAAGTTGAGTACTGAGGGGCCAAGTAACTTGCCCTAGGCCATGCAGTACGTAAATGACAGAGCTGGGATTTAAATCCAGGGAACTTGTGCTCTCAAACCACTTTGCTACTCTACTGTGACACTGCTGGAGTTTCCTTATTCCGTGCCTGTGGCTTTTGTGACTCCTCTGTCTTTGTTCTCCATGCAGGACAAGGGATACGGTCTTGCCTTTGGAGAAAGCGGGAACCTGGACAGTCCTCTACAGTCAGGTCTGACCTGGGGTAGTGGCAGCTGCTGAGAAGGGGAGGACTGGCACAGGGCTGTGGACAGAGGCAGGCTGGGCCAGAAAAGGCCAGACCAGGGAGAACACCAGTGAGTGCGAGGCCTCCCAGAGACTCCGGCACCCCTGGCCCTCTGGGCCTTGGACCCATGTCCTGCTCCTGCTTTCTATCTGGGCCCAGGGACACAGAGCACAGTGAGAACAGATTCTCCTGAGGAGTCAAATGAGGCCTGGAGGGGCAGGGACCAAGGTGTGAATGAGGAGTTCAGCTCCGCATGGGCCCAGGGGCAGGTTTAAGAGGATGCCTCCAGGACCATTGTGAGGTGTGGGCTCAGGAGAAGCAGCTGCTTCTCAGGGACCAGTCCCCTACCTCCTCCTGATCCTCTCAAGAGTTTTGACATAGGTCCTGAAGAGTATAAAAACGGGCAGAATGAGAGGATGCTAAGGATGGGTTGAAGGCCATTCTCACTCCTTCCACGGAGCAGTGCCTTCAGCCCACTAGCCCTGCTGCTCAGGGTGCTCCTTCAGCGTCTCAGGCTGGGGCAGCCTCTGCTCTCCCCAGGCCTTTGAGGTCAGGCCATCTCTGGGCTCAGAAACAGTTACTGAGTTGGGCCGCTCGAGTGGCTGCTTCCTCCCAGTCTCCCCTGCCAAGTCCTCCTCCAAGGTCAGGGTGTTTCCCTACTCCGTCCTCAGCACCTCTCACTCTGCCCCTCCTCCCCACACTGACCGCACCGCCAAGCACTCCCAAGCCCATGACCTCGGACTGGGCTTCTCTGTGAATCTGAGAACCACCTGGCCTTGGGATCTCCCCAAAACCCCACATCCAACACTGAATCACCATTCGCCCAGACTGCTCTTCTTCGTTATACCCAGCTGCCAAGCCAGAAGCCGGGGCAGTGTGCCCATATCCAAAGTCAGCAAGTTCTGTCACCTCTGCCTCCTTCCCATCTCTGCCTTTGCAGAAAGCAAGATCTTTCCACCCCTCTCTCCAGCTCACGCTCCAGTCCATCCCTACACAGCAGCCAGAATGAATTTTCCATCACAATGACAGCTCTTCCTTGCAAAAACTAACCCACAGATGAGCCTCAGTTGCTCTCAGGTTGCTATGTGAGCTCTGCATCTTGGCTTCTGAGACCCTAACCAATCTGGTTCTCTCAGCTTCATCACTGCAGTGGGCACCCTCCAAATACCAACCCAGTCCTCCGGAGCCTCCTGCCTCTTTCTCACGCCCTTCCTTGGGTCATCTGCCCCTCACTTTCCTCCTCTGCTGGCTGTTCCTTCAACCCTGCATCCCAATGGACTCACAGAGGGGTCACTACCTGGCTCATGAGCACAGTCCCTTCTCTGGGAATGATCCGGAGCAAACAAGTGGCTTCCCCAAACCACATATGTGCGGCGGGCCCACGCCCATCACAGCTGATTGGGCCAGTGGCGGGTGCTTGACTCAAACTGGACTAAACAGATTCTCCTCCCTGAGTACTTGACATTTGGAATCCAGGGCTTTGGGAGAGTCTCATCAATGCCCCTCAGTGACAGAGAGCTAGAAGCACAATCCTGACCTCTAGCCAATGGAACTGCTTGGTATCTCCCAAATCAGCTGTCCCTTTGATTGTATGCAACCGTCAGGATTTCCCCCAAATTCCTATTTAAAGAAGCTCAACTCAAACCTCTGTCTTCTTAAAACTGCCCCCTTGGGGCTGGGGATTTAACTCAGCGGTACAGCACCTGCCTAGCAAGCTCAACATCGTGAGTTCGATTCCCAGTACCAGAAAAAAAAAAAAAAAATTAAAACTGCACCCTTGCTCAGTCATGACTCCGTCCTTCTCCTCCTCTTGGTAATATCCCCCACATGCGTCTCCGCGTCCTTGCCTTGCCCTTCATCCATTCACTCTCTGCCCACAGTCATTCAACAAACACAACTACCCTTCAGAATTCTATGTCGCGAGGGATTGGTTCCAGGAGCCCTCAGATACCAAAACTCACAGGTACTCAAGTTCCTTATGTAAAATGTTGTAGTGTTTGCATATAAACTGTTCACATTCTCCTGTATACTTTAAATCAAGTCTACATTACTTATAGTGCCTAGTGCATGCCTACACATCCTTTCATTCACGTGGATTCAGTATAGTACTTGGTGTATGGGAAATTCGAGTTTTACTTTTTGGATCTCCCTGGAATTTTTTCTAAGTATTTTTGACCGCTGGTTGGCCAAATTCAAGGGTGCAGAGCCCATGGATGTGGAGGGCTAACTACATATATACACCTTACATCCACCTTGTGCAAGGACCTGAGAACGCAGAGTAAGATTTGGCCTGCCATCTCAGAGATCTCACAGTCTAGCTGCAGGGACTGGCATGGTAATGGCAGGTGCCAATTGTTGTATGATTAAAATAAAAAGGGTCTGGACAATTTGGAGAAGCTCAGGGTGTGACTGAGGGAGAAGTTTGGAGGTACCTGGGAGAGGGAAGTCTGGGTGGTGTCTTCCGCTATGAGCACTACATTCCAGGTTAGGAAAAATAGAAATGAATGATGACTGTCTATTCAAAATGAAAATAGATTTATTAATTCCTGTGAAAAACAAACTATAAACAGATCATGGACTTGATTGATAAGAAATAATTTTAACAAACATGGCACTGATTTCTACCTGATATCCAGGCTCACATAAAAGACCAGCAGGTGAGCAGGCCGTGGGGGCTGTGGGCAGTTTTCATCCCTGGCAGAGGGGGTTGAGTGAAGGGCAAGGCAGCCCAGGAAGGGGAACAAGGTGAGTACAAACTGCACGGTGAGGGAGGGAAAACAACAAACAGCAAGTTAAGGCCAAAAAAACAAAACGAGAAAGAGTCGTTCTTACTTCCGGTAGCTAGTGCCAGGGATGGAGGATTGTTCTACCTAAAGGTCAGCCTTTAAGCCCTAGCCACCTTTGTCCCTGAGGTTTGAGGCTCAAGCATAACACCCTCTGTCCTTACACTGTCGGGCATGGAGGGAAGGGTGAGTGTCCAAAGATTAGGGCTCAGAGAGGGAAGTGGTCCCTGCTCCCCTCTGTCTCCGGTTCGCCAGCCCCAGGCTGAATGTAATTGTCCTCGATGAAGCCATCATCATCCTCTTCCCCCATCTCTGGGTGGTTCACACTCCCCGTCCGGGACAGCTGGTGGTGCTGGAAGCTGGCACGGTACTGGCGGCAGAGGTGGCATTTGGCAGCAAGTGCAATGATGACAGAGAGGACCACAGCCCCCAGCACAACCCCTACCAGCACAGGCCATGCCCGGCCTGCAGTGCTAGGGCCAGGGGCCATGGCTGATGCTGTGGGGAGCTCCGAGGGCCCCATATGGGCTGCAGAGAAAGGGACAGCATCACACTTTCCTGGGGGAACTGAAAAGACTGTGGGCATGGCAATCCCCCCAATCCTAGCAGCTGAGGGGCGCCCACCCCCTCCTCAGCCATCCACCCCCTTCACTCACTCTGGCTTGCCGCAGTCATAAAGGAGCCTGAGGACATCAGTGAGCCTCCACCTCAACGTCTGCCAGAAAAAGGTCCTGGCTCCAGGAAGACCCCCCAGAGGCCAGGTAGAGCCAGGGCACAAGTCCTGGAAAATAGAAGTATGGGTGTCAGGGACAGGAAGAGGGTAAATGTTCCAGTTCACACATACATCCGTGTTAGGGCGCTGCACCAAAGCTGGGGCACTTGTCCATGGAAGGGCAACAAGCTGAGGTGTGCATTTATTTGAAAGGGACAGTTGCAGGATTCCACTCCAGAAGGTGCTAAAACATAAATCAATTTTAGAACTTCATGACCACTCCTTATGACTCAGTCACCAGGCTCACAAAACCCCACCATGTGGGCAGAAACGTTTTCCCTACCTCACAGATGAGGGTGCCGAGGCTCAGAAAGGTGAACGGACACCAGCAAGGCCTCAGGATTTGAAGCCGGGACTCCGTCTGACACTAGAATCCAGTCAGCTACATTGCTGGGCAGTGGGGTATGCGGACAGGGAATAAGGCCACAGGAAGATCCTAGTTCCCAAAGGTTGGACCACAGCAGTTGTTTGGAGCTACCCAGCCACAGGGCAGAACACACAGGAGGAGGATGCAAATTTCCCGCCTCTCCCACCTCCAGAGGAGGGGCCCCAAACAGCCAAGGCAGCTCCGCCCCTCTGCTCTGGAGCTGGGAGCCACTGCCACACCTCAACCACCAGCCCTTTCAGCAAACTCCTCTCCACTCACCTCTCCCCACAAGAGGGCCACACTCTGCCCGCCTCTTCCCTGGAAGCAGACACCTGAGACTACCCCAACCAGGCCCACCTGAATGAGGAAATGGCCCAGATGAGAATCACCTAGGGCTGGGCACCTGGAAGAGAAGCCCCTGAGTCAGAGGCCGTGGAAAGGCACACCCGAACCTGGGCATGACCACAGGAAGAGCGCCAAAGTCTGGGATAACTGGAGGAGGGACAGCTAGGGCTGGGCACGATCCACAGGGGAAGCCGCTGGCCCAGAGGAGTGCCAGGGCAAACCGCCAGGCTAGGAGCTACCTAGAGAAGCAGCCAGCGTAGGAAGTGCTCTGTCATTTCTGACAGGTTCTGAGTGATCCCTCATTCCTCGCATCCAGCCTGCCACCAGGCCCCACCGGTTCTTCCCTTCAGCACCTCAAATGATGCACCCTCCTCTGCAACGACTGTGTCTACCACCTTCATCTGGCACCCCACGCTGATCTCTCCTGACCTTAGTCAACTCCCAGCGCCAATGGGGAGCCTATCACCTATTTTAAAATCCTTCCAGAAGTTGGGATTGATGGTGCCTGCCTATAATTCCAACACTCTAAGAGGCTGAGACAGGAAGCCTGGGCAATCAAGTGACTTCACAAGACCTCGTCTGTAAATGAAAAGGGCTGGGATGTAGCTCAGTGCAAAGGGCCTGGGTTCAATTCCCAGTACAGTACTCCAAGAAAAAAGCTCCCCATGCCACCCTTGGGTGTCTGTGAATTCCTAGCTCCTCCATCCAGGCCTGGAAATCCCACAGGAGGCCCTCAGGCCCAACTTCCTCCTGTGCAGAGCCCCCTCCCGCAACACACACCCTCCGGACTCACCTGCGCTCTGGCTCCAACCAAACTCTCAGCTCTGAGTCTCCATCCCTTGGGACCAAATGAGACCATCCTAGGGTCTCCTTGGGTGACCCCTGCCCTGTCCTGCACAGCCACCGGTTAGAACAAGCCATTACCAGAAAGGCAGCTCCCTGAGGTCGAGGGCTGGGCTGACTGGCGGTCTAGGGGGAGGGGGAGGCAGAGCAGCTGAACACAGGGAAGGAAAGCGAGGGCGGATCTGCGGGGGAAGGGTGCAGACAGGAGAGGCAACGGTCTTTTCATTCATTCGCAGGCATTCCTGAATGGCCTGCCGTGGACTTCTGCCTGGGCACTAAGTCCTTGAAAAATGGGACTTTGTCACCTTGAATTGAACTGAATTCACTTCGACTTTGCTAAGATTTTACTCCTAGCCTTCCTCCCTGCCCAGTCTCTGATTCTTCCCAAGGACGGACACACACACACACACACACACACACACACACACACACACAGCCTCCGAAGGGCACATACACACGTCTCGGAAAAGCCTCTGAACTCACAGCCCACACTGGCCTGCCCCCCAACACACATGCAGCCCTTGGGGTCACACAAACACAGCCCCACGCAGATCTGGAGTTTCTTTGTGGCTCCCAGAAGCTCCTGGGGACCCGGGGCAGCCGGGGTGCCCTCTACCACGCCCCAAATGTCTTCCCCCTTTGCTCCCACCTTCAGGAACTGTGCACAGTCGGTGGAGGTGGCTTCCGGCTGGGTCTGCAGAACCTGAACAGGTGGGCGGGCCAGGCCCGCGCAGGACTCACCTGGCGAGGCCGAGGGCGGGGCGGAAGCGGCGGGGAGGGCAGGGCCGGGCAGCAGTTGTCTCGCCAGGGCAGCTACTCCGGCCCCCTCCACACCACCCCCCAAAAGGGCGGCCGGCACAGCTGGTCCAGAGGGCCCTAGAAGGGGCAGACCTCAGCGGGCAGCTGCTCAGGCTGGAGGCCCTGATAAACAAGTGAATTTCCGGTGACGGTGCAAAGTCCAGAGTTAAACCTTGGAGACCTGCGTGCCCGTGAAGCAGTGAAGCAGGTCCTGGGGGAAGGGGGGAAGGGCATTCTTCTCAGGAAAAGCCAGAGGGACCGAGGGCGCGCCAAAATCCCCTGCAAACATGTGCGTGAGCCTGATTGTCCAGATAGAATCCTTCCTCTGGATCTCAAAGCACCTAGGACCCCACCAGCCAGGCTCCGAACCCCCCACACCACCCGCCCTGCTCTCTGATTCCCTTTGGCCTTCCTCCTCTTCCTTGGCCTGCTGCTGCCATGTCCTTCAGGAACCAGTTCAGAAGGCATCTTGCCTTCTATTTTCTTTTTTGGTACCAGGAATTGAACTCAGGGCCTCGCTCTTGTCAGGCAGGCACTGCGCCTCTGAGCTACATCCCCCGCCTGCTGCAGAACCTTTTGTAAGGCAGCGTTTCTCCATATCTTGTACTGATTTCTCCCTGGACTGCCTCCCCCATTCACCTGGGAGCTCTTACTGCAGCCTCTGGGCTTCCAGGAACCAGCCCAGTGTCTGAGGCGGGGCAGCCTCTTAGTAAATTTAATCTGGGGGAGGAAAGACCGCCTGGGTTAAGCCACGGTCACCAGGACCCAGCCACAGGGCACAGCTGGAGCAAAGCTGCAGAGACAGGTTGCAAAGGGGTGGTAAGGGAAAAACTCTGAGACGTCCTCAATTTACTTACAAAGGCAATGGAAGGGAAGAGAGTTCGGGAAGGTTTATCAGTAACAAGCTACAGGCCCAGCAGAGCAGAAGTCTTTCTTTACCTTCTTAAATGTGTTATTAAAACTGTGAGCACCACAGCATCTCGCTTGTAGCCCCAAGTAGTCCAGAGGCAATGCTTGCTTGGCAGTGCAGACTTCCTCCCTTCTTATCTCTAGCCAATGCAGGTGCAGTGCACGTAATCTGGGCCTGCCTTCCCTAAACTGTCGTTGTAAAGTAAGTACTCTGGTGTTCTACATTTATCCAGCTGCTACCCGTCCTAGCCGGGGCCCGGAGGCGGGGGTGTAAGTTGCTACAGCAGCTTGTCCCAAGACAAATCCTTTTTGGATAGCACGGTGTCTGTAAAGGCTCGATTAAACCTTCTCTTTTGGAGATCTCTCAACCCCCTGAACTCTGTTTAACAGGGCCAAATCCTGGAGTGAAGGCTTGTTCCTGCAGAGCTTGGAAAGTCGCAGGGTGGAGTCCTAACTCACCACCAACAGCCCCTTCCTACCTCTCCCCCTCATCCAGCCCCCTGCCTTCCACACCTCTCCACTACACTCCAGCCTCACGATAGCTCCAGCTGTTTCCTAGTCCTAGAGTGTCCTGTGCTTCCAGGCTTTGCTTGCTCTGTTCCCCTTTGCCTAGGACCCCTACTTCCCCCAACCTGCACCCCCAGTGCCTTCCCACACATCTCCAGGCCCCAGCTCAGGGGCCTCTCCCCGCCGCCCCGAGTGTGAGTGATGCGCCCGTCTCTCCTCCATGTCCTTGCAGGCTGACCTCAGCCCTTATCCTCCCTGGCCCTGGCCACACAGTACTGTGATTTCCTTTGTAGTTTCTCTCACAAACCTGGGAACTCTGAGTGTAGGCTCTTTGTCTGTCTTGTTTTCATATCTTGTCATAAATAGCAGCAATATATACTACTTCTAAGTAATGAATGTGAGGAAAGTGAGATCATTCAATTTTTTTTTTTTTTTTTTTTTTTTTTTTTAATACTGGGAATTGAACTCAGGCCCTTGCACTTGCCAGGCAGGCCCTTATGCCACTGAGTATATCCCTGGCAGTGAGATCATTCTAGATAGGGTAAGGAGGCTCCAAGGAAGGCATAGGTACTTTAGAAACATAGGCATACTGTACTTTAGAAACAAGGAAATCATAAGATTCAACTGGAAACGTCGAATGCCGTGGGTTTTATTAATGAAGGTATTCACATAACATGACCTAACTCACAACATAAAATTCACCCTCTTAGCCATTCTCAAGCATGTAATTTAGAAGCATTTAGCATACCACTAAATGGCTGTAACAGTGTGAGACCATTACTCTAGCTCTAAAGCACTTTCCTCACTCTCAAAGAGAACCCCTTAGCCAGTGAGCAGCCCCTCTCACCCACTCCAGCCTCCAGCAGCCCTGAGCAGCTTTCAGTCTCCATGGATTTGGCTGCTCTGGGTATTTCATATAAATGTAATTATATTTGTGCCAGCTTTTTAATGAACTATTTCATTTGAGCCTCATAACCACCGTGAGGTAGATGTTAATTTTATCCTTAACAGATGAAGAAAACAAGGCTGTGAGAAGGTAATTAGCATGATGTCCCAGAGAAGAAAATAAACAAGGTCCACATGCCCATTAGTCAGTCCTTTATTCAAAGAATATGCACTGAATGCCCACAACAGAGCCATAGCCAACCCATACAGCGCACACAGCCCAAGGCACCCTGCTGGATGCCCTCAATGGTATGGAGAGCAGAAAATAGGCTGGGTATCGACACCCTCTGGCTCTTCACCCTGGAGCTCTGATGCAGTGAACAACCTATCCAACCTTCCATGGCAGCTCTGGCAACCATCTGATGGGCTCTGTGCAAGTTAATTTTGGGAGGTGATTGGGTCATGGGGTGTGATGCTCACCAATGGATTAGCACACTGAGGGCTTTATAGTTAAATGAGATGCTGGGAGGTGAAGCCTGGTTGGAGGAGGTGGGTCATTGGGGGTGTGGCCTGGAAGGGTCTATCTCATTCTCCCCCCAGTCTCTCTCTGCTTCCTGCTGTCACACCATGAGCTGGTTCTCCTCTGCCATGTTCCGCTGCCATGCCACCGTGCCTTAGACCCAGCTGACTATGGACTGAAACCCCTACAAACTGTGAGCCTATAAACCTTTTCTTCTTACAGTTGTGGGTGTAGGTCTCGAGTCTCAGAAAGGGAAAGTAACCAAGACAGTCAGGGATGTGTCAGTTCCCTGCTCCTGTGAGACCTCATCCATTGCTGGTTTGACCAGAAGACATAGGCAAGCCAGTTAGGAGACTGCTGCAGTATCCAGAGAAGAGGAGATGAAGCCTCAGGGAAGTCAAGTGAAGGTGGAGAGAAATGCTCAGTTTACAAACACATGTTGAGGGACTTGGGATATAGCTCAGTGGCACAGAGCCTGCCTGGCTAGCGAGAGGTCATGAGTTCAGTTCCCATTACAAAAAAAAAAAAGAAGAAATACATGTTGAAGGTGAAGCCAACAAGATGTGCCAAGTGGGTGTAGGTTTCCAGAAAAAGAAAGAAAGAAATTTGGCATGAGCAACTGGAAGATTGAGCCTGGCATTTACTACCATGAGAAGACTTCAGAGAGACAGGATGGGAAGGGAAATAAGGACGTCAGTTTTGGACACACTGGATGCCTGGGAGACATGCGAGTAGCACACTAAGCAGAGAAATGCGATGCCTGGATGCGACAGGTTCTCAAACACACATTGAGAACGAACAAAATGTAGACAGGCATGTGGATAAGATCCCCAAGGATAAAAGAGATAAAAGAGAGAGGAGCTCTGGAATATGCCGGGAGTAGAGGTCAGGGTGAGGAGAAGCAGGAAAGGAGGAAGGGGAGTGGCCAGTGTGGTAAAAGGCAAAGGTATGAGAGTGGTGCCTGGACAGAGAAGAAAGCATGTGAAGGGCAAGGACTGGGCTAGCTATCGGGAGTGCCGTAGGCAAGTCAAATAAGATATGGACTAACAGCCAATCTTGGAGAATGCCGAAACGAAAGTCAGTGGTAATCCTGACGAGAGCAGTTTCTCTGGTGTTCGGGGGACAAATACCTGACTGAAAGAGTGCATGAGTATGCAGGCAGAGGAAGTGGAGACCTGCCTCCAGGTAAGTGCTATCGAAGGAGCAGAGCAGTGGATAGCACTGGAAAAGGGTGGAAGGTTGAGGTAGGACCTTTTTTTTTGAAGGCTAAGAGCTGTTAGACCAGCTGGTCAGAATAATCCAGGAGAGACAGGAACTTAAGGATGCAGAAGGAAGAAAGGATGCAAAGGTGAAGTCCGTGAGGAAGCATGGGGGGTGGGGGTCAGGTGCGCAGGGCTGGCCTTGGACAGGAGCAGCAGAGTCCCTCTGAGTCACAGGAGAAAGATGGTCTACACAAGCCAAATATATTATGTCTGTGGGGGGAGCCTGAGGACGTTTCCTTCTGATGGTTTCTGTTTTTCCAGACCAATAGGAAGCACTATCATCAGAGGAGAGTGAAAAATGAAAAGGGGGTGCAGAGCTTGGAGGCAAAAGAAGGTGTGACTGTATCACCCAGACCCAGGCAGAAAGGAGAGCCCCGTGGTGTCACAGGCTTGCAGGACAGAATCCAGCCCTCCCTTGGGGAGGAAAAGACACGGCCATCCAGAGTGACTGAGTGCTTTTGTTTTCCAGCCACTGTGGTGCAGTTGGGGAGGAAATGGAGAGAGGGTTTAACCAGGATTGAGGATTTGCCAGGCAAATATGATAAATGAAGGAGGGCCAAGGGAGCCAAGCTTTAGGCAAAGGAGCAGTCATGATGATACACCATGGGATCCACTCAGAGTAAGGAGGAAAGTGGGCATGGAGTGGGTGGGGAACACAGAAAAGATCCGGGGATTTTAGGCTGCTGGTGTGCTGGAGTGCTGGTGTGCTGGAGAAATTGCTGGTGTGCTGGA